GCTACCAGAGCTCCTTTACATCAATATAGTAGCTCATGGTAAATTACTCAGGACCTATGAAATGAGACTAGATGAAAACTAGAAAATCACCTAAATGCAGATCAAGACAGACTCTGCTGTCAGCCACATCCTTTATTTCTGACCATGTGCGTGAGAGGAAAGGACGTGATAGTGTGCGTGAGAGGAAAGGACGTGATAGTGGGCACGTGATATATATATATGGTGGTGGTGTTGTCAAGTGCCTTCGAGTCGGGTCCACCCCACAGTGACCCTGTATAGGGTTTCTAAAGAGCAACTGGTGAGCTTCAATTGCCAAGCTTGTAGTTCAAACCAACTTTGCAGTCTAGTGCATTAACCCACAATGCCACACCAGGACTCCATTCATATATAAAAATATGTAAACATTTTTTAATTAATTTACTTTTTCTCCTTCTTCTTCTCCCCCCCCATCCCATCACCCAAGTTAACAAGTGTCTAGTGCTATTTGATAAGCAATGGACCGCTAACTGCAAGATGAGTGGTTCAAATCCAACATTAACTCCTTGGAAACCATGTACTGGGCTACTGTGATTCAAAATCGACTTGATGGTACTTAACCACAACAACACCCTCCAGCCAATGAATAATTTTTCCTTCCTTCCTATATTTTTATTCTGGTATGGAGGATATCTGGAGAATTTATTTCTATCATTATTTCTTAAAGATTCAGTGTTTGTTTGCAAAGTGCCTTTCTAAAGTTTTGTTTTATTAGGTGCCATTGCGTCAGTTCTCAGTCATAGAGATCCTATGTAAAATGAAAGGAAACAGTGTTCAGTCCTGCAGCATCCCCACAATTGTTGCCATGTTTTGAGTTCATTGTTGCTGTCACTATGCCAAACCATCTCACTGTCCCTCCACTAAACCAAGCATGATATCCTTCTCCAGGGACTGATCCCTCCTGATATGCCCAAAGAGTGAGAGATGAAATCTGGCCATCTTGGTTTCCAAGGAGTATTCTGGTTGTATTTCTTCAACACAAATTTGTTTGTTCTTCCTGCAGTCTATGATACCTTTAATATTCTTATCCAAAACCATAACTCAAATGCATCAATTCTTTGGCAGTCTTGTATTTAAGGATGTCCACATAAACCCTAGAGTCCTGGTGTGGCTCTGTGGGTTAATGTGCCAGACTGCAAAGCATTTGAACTGCAAGGTCAGAAGTTCAAGCTCACCAGCTGCTCCTCTGAAATACTATACAGGGTCGCTATGGGTCAGAATTTACTCAAGAGCACTTAACAACAACAACATATATTGCATACAGGAACTAAATTTACAGGTATATGAGTTAGAGTAAGATCTACTTATATATGACAAAAACCATTGTGGATATAAAGTAATGAGGGCTTCTGTTAATCCATTCTATGTTTTCTTATGATTGTTGTGGTTGTTAAATGCCTTTGAGTTGATTACAACCCATAACAACCCTGTGTAGGGTTTCCAAGGAGCAGCTGGTGAGCTTGCACCACCAAACTTATAGTTCAAACAACTTTGCAGTTTGACGCATTAGCCCACAGTGTCACACCCATCTGAATAGACTTTATACTTCCAGGAGGGTAAACCTGTAGAAGTCTATCATTGTTAACAGACACACAAGGAACAAAAACTAGTTGATAGTTTTGAATATCAACTATGACTCACTGTTTTGAAAATGCTATATGAAATGTTTAAATTGAATTCTAGTAGTTTAGCTGTGATTGCGTAATGACATCATATGTCCTAATTGGAAGCAACCTACAGATATCGTAATACATGTTTTACAAACCATTGTCTTAATCTCTATTAACAAAAATGTTCAAGAACAGTTCTGACTTTGACCTCCTACCAATCTAGTATATTGAACTAATCACACTTTAGGTCTCTGTTGTTTAAGCTGTTGTGAAGAGGTCCCCTTTCTATTGAAATCTATGGAAGTGATCATTTTCTCATGCAGATAGATCAGCCAGCCCGATGTGCCATGTTGCCATACAATCAAATCTAATATAATTGTGATTCCAAAAGCACCTCTTCTTGCTCCTGACAATACTTGAGCACCCTACTTTTCATTTTTATTGCAGCACATAAAAGCTACTGAATTTTTTATTAGTGGCAACTGAGGTACTTGTAGTTTTAAGAACTACTGTATCTCTTTGTCCCTTGCTCCATTCTTCATCTCTCATCTATCCTGGGGTCTTTTGCACGTTTCTCTTCTGACATATATCCAATTACATGTCAAGCTGCTTCCCTCATCTACTTTTTTAAAAACTAATTTTATGTATGCACCAACAATCTTTTATTCTTATACTGGAGTGAAAATTGTCAGGTTTCCTTTGACAGTAGTACACACGTTGCCTCATGTAACAAGCTGCCCCCAGTCTGGCAAAAAATAATCAGTCTCACTGATTTATTCTATGAACCTCTTCCAAGCCCTCAACACATATGAAGTAATTTTGTTAGATAACTACTACAACAGTTATTTCAATGGCAGCCCCTCACATGAAGTGTTACAGCTCTGTAGGATAAGCATTGGACCGGTAAACACAAAATCAGCAGTTAAAGTCTACCAGCTGCTCTGTAGGAGAAAGATTAGACTTTCTGGTCCTGAAAAGATCAGCAGCCTTGGAAACCCTGTACCAGGTTGCTATGAGTTGAACCAATTGGATGGCACTGGATGGCACTTAACAACAAAAATAACAACAGTCTCTCACAAGATCAGGATAATATTTAATCCATAGAAAATTGGTAAACTATTACATAACCTTGGAAAATATCTGCTTCCCCAAAATATATATAACAAGACATTTGTCCTGTCTACAATTTTCACTTATACAATTCAGTGGCATCCATTATGTTCATTATGCTGTGAAATCATCACCATTGTGTTTACAAATTTTTCTTCACCTTTATCAAAAACTCAGTGCCCCTGAGCAAATCTCTTTTCCCTCCTCTCTCCCATTCCTAGTAACCACTGATAATCTTGTGTTTCTATAATTGCCAAATTGTAGATGCTTCTTATGCTGTTGATGTTGTTAAGTGCCCACTCATATTGACACTGTATGTGGTTTCTAAAGAGCTAGTGGTGAGTTTGACCTTGAGGTTCAAACCAATCTTGCAGTCCTACAGCGCCACAGCAGAACTCCAATAATAAAATTGCCCCATATGGTTTCCAAGACTGTAAATCTTTATGGAAGCAGACAGTCTCATCTTACTTCTGCAAGGTAGCTGGTGCGTTTGAACCATCAACCTTGTGGCTACCACCTAAGTGGTTTATCCACTACACCACAAGGACTTATAAGTGGAGTAAAAAAGTGTGTCCCTTGTGACTGACTTATTTCACTTAGCATTTTTCAAGGTCATCCATGTTGTAAAATGCATCAGGACTTAATTTCTTTGTATGGAAACCTAGTGTTCAATTATGTTTAAATACCAAAATTTGTTCATCCATTCATCTGTTGATGATCAGTTTGACTAATTCTATATTTTTTGGCTACTGTTAGTAGTGCTACAGTAAGCACTGTTGTACAAGCATCTGAATTTCTACTTTTAGTTCTTTTCAGTTTATAACCTGGATTTGAATATGGTCTTTCTATATTTAATTTTTAATGTGTGAAAGGAATTCAAAAAGTTTTGAAAAAGGAAATTAAAAGATAACAAATTTTCTTCAAACTTTTTGAACCTTCCTAGAATACGAAACAACAGTGGATCAGGAATAATATGAAGTCACTAACAACTGTAATTCATTTTACTTTTTCATTTCCACTTTCCTACTTATCATTTTCCCATATTTGTTTTTCTCTTTTACTTCTATAATTCGATCCCCAGCCTGTTAGGAAGGGTTGTTAGGATACAAATTCCATGATGTAAATCTTCCTCTTCCTGTTGTCTTTATATATAATATGCTATTAATCTATTATCCATCACCCACACGTATCCTTTGGCTACAATTCAAAAAAACAAGCATTATTAATTATAGTTTTACAGTATCTTATTACTAAATATACCAAGAGGAATAGTACTCATAAATATAGCTCAACAGTAATTTGTTGGAAACAGGAAAGCATTTACTTTAACATCAAAGTAGTAATTTAGATGCATTCTACATTTTAAAAAATAACTTTTTTGAGTGTCCCAGGAAAGTTTGGCAATCTAAAAGGTTGTGTACCAAAGACAATTGTTTTATCAATTCATGAATAGCCCGCTACTCAATCTATTTTATAAAATTTGCAATAATGCATTTTCCCAGTCGTTCTTAAATGCTGTCAAGTTGGTTCTGACCCATAATGACCCTTTATAGAGTTTCCAAGGACCAGCTGGTGAGATTGAACTGACGACCTTGCAGTTCAAATGGCTTCACTTTCTGGCGCATTAACCCACAGTACTACAAGGAATGTATGGTCTGCAAAGGAGGGGATTTTAAGTTCAAATAGTGTTAGGTTAAAGAGAAGGAAAGAAAAACTGCTTTACAAATCTGTGAAAAAATAATTAAGATCTAGCATTTGTCATATTATTTTTTTTTCAAAATTCTTTTTTTTTTTTTTTTAATGTTTTATTGTGAATTATGTGATAGTTTACATGGGAGAACATTAGTTTTACATTCATTCTATTGTATATTGTCTCTCATTGCCATGGTTACAATCCCCTCCATGCACTCCTTCCCCGGTACCCCCCGGGTCTTCGGCACACAGTGGCTCTCCCTCTCTGGATCTAAAGTCTCCAGCTGCTCCATCGCTCCATGTCATCATCTCTGGCTCCATTTCAGGCATCACTGCTTCTCTTGGTAGGGTCCCGCTCTCTGCTCTTCTCCCTTGATGGTCCTAGGGACCTCTGCTCCTAGACTGAAAAGTTAATCACTCCCCTCCTTGCTATAAAACGTCTACCTTTACATTTCCAACCCTCACAATCAGTCCTGATAACAATTATTCAATATTGTATCACAAGAGACCCGTCTGCATTTCATTGCATCAACCCCACCTAGACAGATTGAATACTACTCACTGGAGATTCTACCTTCCTCCATGCCCTCTGGATCTAGGTTCCCTCTTAAAAGCTTGTAAACCAATCTGTGAACCCGGGTGAAGACCTGGTTGGCCAGCAGTGTGGCAAGACCTGGGGACTCTTGGGCCCAGAGTCAGTGACATAGCTACAGAGGACTAGAGTGGAGA